TAACAGTGCCAAGTTGAGAGATTAACGCCAAGTCAAGACAAGCGACGCTAGAAAGATCAGAAACGAGTCAGGTTACACACCGCACGCTATTTCAGGTATGAACAGAGATGCTCCAGGTCCAAGAACAGTCAGGCCTGCGTTCATCCAAGGCAAGACGTTGCGCAGCTCATCCAACCAACAACACTGAAATCTTCTCATCCCAATATTACTAGTTCTTGTGCCAACAGCCATATCCGAGACAGGAGATTTGTGTTCAACCTGCCATATCCTTCGTCTCAATCGTCCACGTCATCCTCTCCAGTGCATACTGCATCTTGATCTGGACGGCGTCTGGCCTTGACGCATTCAGGCTGGTGGGGGAGTATATGATCTCCCTGAGACGGCGTCTTTCGATGCCTACATCTGCGGGCGAACGAAGGAACGCAAATATACAGCAATATAATACTTAGAAGCTGGTTCGGCCAAGCAACTCAATGGAGCTGCTTTCACTCGTCCGACAAGAAAGGTACAGAACAGTGCGCTGCCTACTGCGAACGGGCGCTTTATCTGCTCCTCTGCCAGCGTTTTCTCTATGCCGTCTGCTTTTATATCCTTGTTCGTCTGACTTCAAACAATACTGCTGGCTTCGTGAATCGCACATTGATTACGACCATCGAAGCTCGTCCTCACTGCTGCTTTTCCTCGACTAATATATCTCTGGTTGAAGCTCCCTCATGCTACGCTTGTCAGGGAACCTCGCGTTGATCAACTGAGATATTGTTTTACGAACTTTCCACCAAGCTGCGCAAAATTATAATTCTTGGATCTAATACACGCAGCGACAACGCGGAGACGCATTTCTCCAAGACGTCCCGTTCATCACCGAAGGAGCAATCAGACGTGGGAGCAGATTCTCGCTTTCCATGTGGCGGACAAGAAGACAGACATTTTATAATTCACGTTCAAGTATGCGGGGATATGCAATCTTGAAGAATCGTCAGATGACATCGATCAAAGTTTGACGCTGAAGACCACAATCATAGGCATTCGATGCCTGGAGATTTTCCAGCAACACACAAGAGGCACCACACCCGAAAGTCTATACAGCTGGAAATGTTTCTTGGATGTGAAGAGATCACCAGAATGCACCGCTATGTATCGCTGATGGGAGTCATTCATATATATTATGTCTGTCCGCCAAACAGTTCGTTAACAGTTGATACTGCTACATGCAAAGTCGTATTTGAGGAGTCGAGAATATGATGTCAGTCCTGACCAGCAGATGAAAGCGAAGCTGGCCAGATGCAACCGGTCATACAGAATACAGATGGAGATGGATGGATCCCATTTCCTCGTGACGCCAGATAAGAATAGCTAGAATGCTTCCGGTCTTGCGGAGGAAAGTTCCGACAGGCATAGGCGATCGGAATGTCGAGACTATGACAATCACAACCTACTTCATCAATCTGCCTACGCTAGTAAGACTCGTTATCATATCCACGACTTCCGCCATTACTCCAGAAGTATCATGACCAGCTACTGGCAGTCATGGGCCAGCTGGGTCATGAGCGAGTGGAGAGACTTCATATAATACTTGTCCTTGTCGACCTACGCAGCCTACGAAAGCTGCTACTGGTGGACACAGCTCTTAATGGCAACAAACTTCCGGCTGGGGCATCGACGCAATGCAGGCTGTGTGGCCTTTAGGCCTTTCTGTCTTGCGCGTCATGATGCTTCAGAGATAGTGTCGTCAGATCCGGGCTTGCCGATGTTATACCCCAAACCATTGCTAATCGCTGAGCAAACACTTAGTCCATCATTGAACAAAATATTTTGTGGATTTCAATACACTCGCAGTAACAAGTCTTGCGTCGGCTGGTCTTCACGGCGACCCGCTTTTGCTCAGGTGTGTGGGTAGTCGCTAACGACCATGGATGGTGTGTTGGCGATTATATATCCTATTTCCGGGAAACCGTTCGAATACATTCATCTCCCCATATTATCATTGCTTATCTGATTGATTGAGCAAGATGTTATGGAGCTATAATCAGCGTGGCCAAAACCTGGACTTGGGAAGATCCAGCGGTTCAAAGTGCTCTGTGTTGCCCGATTTCAAAAATTGATCTTGAAACCCGTCAAACAAACGTTTCCGAAAAAGCGTGGTGAAACAACGACTTCGGTCTTATACTTTGTTGATCTCAACTGCGATTGACCCAGTATACCATGCGTCCATGAGGATGTTCGATGAGGCTGCCCAGGCTTCAATGCTGCCAAGTGATCCTGTTGAGAAAAGTACACTTTCTTCAAGAGTTCAACGTGACTGGGGTGGTTCACATCATCCTCACGGGGCAAACAGACTGCCAAGCAAGATTGTGGGAGGATCTCGAAAAGACCTTGCAATGTCCTCCAACATTAACAACATTAAGGGAAAATTGAAGCTACCGCAGACTTGAACTCCCCCTTGCAATTGAAAGCATATATGGCATCTTTATGTCCTTCTTCGGTCATTGCATACTGCATAAATCGCGGTCTCATATGGCTGTTAGCTGGCTGGTGAGCAGCGCTTGAGAGTCTTTGTCCTGGTTGGACGTTTACTCCCTGGGGAATTTCAGGACATTATACTCGTTCTGGTCCAATTACACGTTATGCAATTGCACACGTTCGGTCTTCGCACATATTCCAAGCAGCTTTAAGAAGAAGGATTTGTTCAAAATGCGCCATGAGAGGTTACCAGTTCCTCGGGCAAAGTTCATGGAGATATCACTATAGAACGATGACCTCCAATTCGCTAAGCTCCCCGAGATCAAACCTGAGGTTGATGACATATGATGAAGAATGCCTCTTGCGAAAAGGATCGGGATGTTTGATACAATTTTTATCGGCTATTACAATTCCAAGGCTGAACTAGGGGCAAAGCACCCGACAAACATGATGCTTTCGACGGTGGCATTGTCATTTGCACTGCGTACTACGCTTGTATAACGGTATGAACGTCAGCTGGTGTCTGACCCCATGTAGCGTTTGCTGCAGCACTACAATAAGCCAAGGCTTATGAGGTCTTTCTCAGTCATCTGGTGGTTCATCTTAGCTATACTCTTATTGATTATGTTGACTTTTCTTATCAGCAAAGGAACGATAGAGACTTCCTTCCTTATTGGTGGCCTATAGGAGAGAGAACACAGGGCTTTGCATACGCCTGAAGTTCCAGCTCGTACGGTGTCGTCGCATTTATGGTATGCTAAGCACCTCGGTACTCATGATCTGACGAGAAAATTACATGGGCTGATATACAAACACTAGCTACACACCAACCTTCAAAGTCATGTGACGTTCATATCGAATCGACGCAATGAATACTCAACATGAAGAAGCTCATATTGAGAACGCCTTACCTTTTCGTCCGGCCATTCTACGTCTTGTCTATATAGGACTTACTGCTTTGCTTGTCAACACAGCACATACGGTGCGCGATTACCGGTCGAACAACCTGTACTAGGAGTTTATATACTACGCCGTTCAAGAACCAGATTTCTTCACAAAATGATGAAGATATATTCAGAACCTTGTTGTTCTATACATACACTGCATTTCACACTCATTTTGTGCTTTCTCGAAGAACCGCCGAGGCACAATATCCTATCTGAACGCTTTGAATAGAAATTTTCTCAGAAGCAGTGGTCTTCGACTCCGACCAGACTGTTCTCTCGTCATCCTGGAACCTTGGGAATTGCTGATATAATACAGAGTACGGCGACTTTATATCATCGCTGAATCAACTTCTTCGACTGCTTTGTCTTTCTGGGCGGACCTCCTCGTGGCTTTCTGCTTCATCATAGCTTATGCTTCAAATGCGCTGCTGATTTGGAAAAGCCACGAACAAGGCAGCGAACTGCATTAGCCGTTGTTTTGGCTTACTCTTGGTGATGCTGGCAAGACGGCTCTCAAGGGCAAAAAGTCAGGGAAGAACGCACGCAACCTTTCGGTTTTTCTCTACCAGAAACCCTGTCCGTCATTTCTCTTAGACGCCTACTATACTTCAGTTCTGACGATGAAGAACTCTGTATTGGTCTTTCGCCAAGGTTGCACTATCAATGCTTCTTACTTTTTGAGCTTAGGGCTGCTTTGTGGCGTGCGGAGATGAATGTCCAAGTCTCATCCGTCGAAGAAGGGTCGTCCCAATATGGAGTAATGGTTTCTAATACCGATGACTCTGATGTCGCATGGGTGCGCTTTGTCTTTTTTTGCTGGCGGTTGTTGGCTCCAGAGACCAAGTCTCTCTTCTGCGTGCAGCCGTAGAGAGAAATGATCAGTGAATTCATGCAGAGCTTCTACCGGAACCTCCATCGCCTCATTGCAACTACCCCGAGGCTGTCGATGAGCATGGTAGCGTGGACGCGAAACAGACTTTCTCACCCAGCTCATAGATTCCGACATGATCCATTTTCAAGGCCATGAACAAAAACCTCTCTGGGCAATTTTGGCTTGTATGCTGACTTCTGCGTGCCCAAGACAAATACGGTTGGGATTGAGCTTTGAACTTTGTCAAGATGAGTTGCTTGAGCAATGCGTATCGCCCAGACGTGAGTCAGTCCGTCCATCCTATGGCCACGACTCACTCGTTCGGGTGTACCTTGGTGTCTGGCTGAAGGGCACTGGGTCTAAAGAGTTGGCTCAGACTGATCGAAGCACCAGCTTAGCTACGAACAACGGACCAACGACGTCATTCACCTTGCAACCATAGCACCATTCTATGGGGTGGTTGATGGAGAGTGGATTTATATGAGAAAACATCGATAAATGACAGTGATGCTGCACCGTTATTTTCAGTAAAGACTGCATCTCAAAACAAACCCATCGCAAGTCGGCTGAAAAGACAGGGCATGAGGTAACCACACATTCCTCATTGTAATACCGGAAATCATGGGGCAATGGGCTAAAGACTCACCTACCTACACTTTGGAAACAATCGCAGCAGAGCCGATCTATGTTTCGACCTGGTCCATAACTTGGTGTGTTATGGACACAAAGTATCTCCTGCTTCAAACCCGCTACTAGTGTCGTGTGGTCTTACTACCGCATCCCGGCACAATGGAACTGACCTAGGTGTCAAGAACCCATGGAGCGATCATGTTCACAGCATCCGAACTGTGAAGCTCCGATGAACATTGTCAGATATTACGAGCCGTTTCTCTTACCCCGGAGTATATCTCAGCATACTTGTTTCGCTGGGCTGTACTTGAAGAAGCCGCCATTTCTTTCTCTTCGTGCATCCTGTTATCTTCTCATCAACCATCATTTTTCGCTCGCTTTTTCTGCTCTCAGAGTCTCTTCTACTCATCCCTTTCATTGGCTTGCATCATGTCTCGCAATCATTATCATCCAGCGACTCTTCCGGCATGGGCCACTGCCTTAAAGGGCTCTTCTTCCTAACCAATTGGATGGAACACGTCCTCGTGCGGCATATCTAGGCACAGTCGCAGCATCGATTCCCGGTAGATACGCGGTCTGGGGGGTTCGAGCATTGTCACTGCATGGTCGGCCCCAGTCATCCAGCAGGATGCTGTTCATTTGCGAGTACTGCTTCCGGAATACCACAATCTCGAGATCTATCGCCCCGATCTCGAAGGTTCAACGCATTAGCATTTCTTCGATGCATCGGCACTAAATTGCTGTTGCCAGCATCGAACTCGATTCCGACATCTACTCTCCATTCTTCGTGGTTCTCCTTATGTACATGTCACCTTCTGCCCCAAAGAATTCGAGCAGCAGCTCTATATACCCATAATATCAATATGATCAAGACCCACATTTACAGGAACATCAACGCAAATGTCATGTCTTCATACCGTCACATCATTTTTTTCAATGATAGACGGGACTTCGAAGATTATATAGAATTGCTGCTTTCTTCATACCAAGATTCGCACGGACCATCTTGACCGGCCAATAGTGCAACAAATCAAAAGCATTCAGTGACCAGGATGGGCCAGGATAGTTCTCATATGTTCCCTGATAGGACAGTTATCGTCGGCCACTGAAAATGGGGAATAGAATCACAGATACCATATTCCTGGGCCCAAAGCTGTTCCAATGGAACGTGAGTAAGCTAAAGGTGCTCATCTGTGATGGGGCTGTTCAGGCTTCATGAAATCGAGAAACCCTACTCGCAAAACATATCCCACTATATCTAACAAGAATTGAAGCCGACAATTAAACCCCCGATGCAAGACAAGTTCTTTTGACGAAGACTATGGTGCAGAAAGTGATGGCTAAAGCCTTCCATCATCGTTGCGTGGAGGTTACTGGCACAATGTTCTCATGAGTGGGGCTGTCAACTCAAATAAAACTCGATCGTTCGGTTGGAGTTATCTACTCTTAGAATGCTGAGCATGCTGCCCATTTTTCGCGATCAAGTTAACATTGAAGAAGAGGACCTGACTGGGTGGACGCATTTCCCAGGCGAGGAGGTATGCATCAACAAGCACTAAGAAGCCCAACTTCGCGGCGCCATCAAATATTCTCTATATGGAGATACCATCGCCTTTTCAGCGGCGCCCACTCGAGATGTTACAGTATCGACAAGCCTCGAATGGTTCAAGCAAGCCGCGAACTAATGCCGGCAATTGAAACATGCCTATACGTAGTCGAATCCCGCCAGCTGGGTCGGGTGGATTTTTCCATGCCCATAAACTTTTTCTTCATGCAATCTCCACCTCGTTCTTGTTCTGGCGTCTGTATAAGAGCGGCACTGTTATGGGAATTTTGAATGTTCAATATCGGATGGGAAGGCAGCTCGGCGACCTGATCAGTCAGGTCTTCTACCACGGGCGTCTGCAGTCGGTCAGGCCAGCGACTTCCAGATCACATCGAGGAAATGTCACAGGACCTTAGAAGGCTGTATTGATCCTCTTCGACGTACAACAGCTGTACGTCCTCGTGGTTATGTACAATGTATGGAATCATCCGTTTCATTCGGTCATTCAGTCGAGCTGGATAGCAATCTGCGAGACAGGTGCAACGCCTTCTATACTACCGGGCAGGCAACAATCATCAGCATGCAGTACCGATCTTGCTCATGTTGGTGGACAGACCATCGCCGTTGGGCAACATCTCCTTTAGTCTTACTATTGGACTTTCTACCATTGAGTTCGTCATCGTGCTTCAGATTCGTGGGACTGAACTTTCCTTGTTCGGCCATGACTACAGTACACCGATTATGCTTATATACAAGGCGACATGGAAGCAGCGACTGGAGATATATAAGATGCTAGTCCAGCATCCCTCGATCAGAACAGCCATGCACTCCAGTGTAAACTATTTCCATCATACGAATTCTGAGAACGAGCAGTAGGTGCTCTTAACAGTACCTACTATCGACCAAATGAGTCTGTATGGAAAGCTTATACACCAGCAGATGAACCGCGGTTCAACAGCATGGCAGAAAGCAACAAAGCCAATAATATAGGTGACAATTCAGCCAGTACACCTGTGTGCTTCCGTTGTCTCTCGCCACCCGGATACGCCGGTTCTATGGAGCCCGGCCCTGGCACAGCTAGTATGTCTGACTGCTACGATACACAGGCACTCGATGGTCACGCCTTGCTCTCTGATCTCATCTGATAAACAGATTCCAAAGCTTTGGAAGTACATATGGTTCAAAACATGTGGTCTGATAAGCGCCATATTGAAGATTAATCAACCCGGTTCAATTTCGATCTATCTGGTAGCTGTCAGTGAACTCAAAGATCTGACTTCTACGCACCCAGCAGTTACGTTGAACTTAGCGACTTGCTAAATCACGAGTCGAGATAAAAACAACGCAGTGTCATACGATGGAGGAGACAATCCTGCGCAGAGTACTCAGCCTGCGAGCTACGCTGTGGTCGTGCGAAACTCTCTCCAGACGGGCTGGGTTTGGCCAGAGTAATTCCATTGTAAGGGGAAACTCCCCCGCTGGCCGACATCGTTGCGCTGGTTGTTGGAGACGAGCACGTCGGTTCACAAGGGGCGACAAGAAAGCAGTGCTCGATCAGCGCATGCAGAGGTTGGAACAGTTGACTACTTTCGCTGGCAGCTGGTTGCTGTCACCGGCTGGCGGAGATCCTTCTGCGGTGCCTCATGCTGGGCATTACGTTAGCTGCCTATCAATACAAGACAGACACAGCAAACAGTCTTTTACGCCTTCATATGAAGACAGATGGTTGATTGTTTGTAGCGGATGCTGTTGACGATCTAGATGCTCGAATCAATACTCATCATGCTCAGTCCTGAAAACTCAAGTATAGAATAAGGCCAACGGAGCTGGGTCCGTCATAATGCTCAATCAATCGACATCAACACGATATTTTAACATCTCACGTCACTCGCTGGCGCCAATGACCTTCAAGTCATGGAGACATGCGAAGAGGCTCTGGGATTGTCCAGGTGTCTTGACTACCTTGATTTAAGGTCTATAATGGGCCCGTGATGAAAGAGAACTGGATTCAGAGATGGCTTAGATAGTGTGGAAAGCCCAAAGCTAGGATCGGTCCACTAGGGAGTGTCACTACCCTACTTTGCAAAGGCAGTTTCTGTTTTTAATGGGGTGGGTGGATGTCTTTGCCCCCTACACATTTCCTATTACAACAGCTCGAAAAGCAACAACTGATGGTGGAAGAGATTTGATGTTTCTATTCACTACTAGTACTATCAGTTGTTTTTTACGTTACTGGTGGTACGATTTACTCATGTGCAAAAACTGAAACGACTACTACTACTACTAGATACTATATATTCCGAACTACTGAACCTGCATACATTTAAATCAAGATCATCATACTCCATACGAAGTACCATACATCCAATCAACACATATAATAGAAACCTACCTATACACAGCAGATACTAGTAAAACATACCCAAGCACAGTTGAATAAATACCACAAAAAGACAACTGACCTCACTCACCTCACCTCCCACCTGCAGCGTGCCCCACACCACCAACTAACAACCAAACTGGACCCGTCCCCACTCGAACCACACCACAAACCCCCCTCCAGTCCAATATAATTTGCTCCAAACCACAGATCTCCATCAAAGTCCGATGTGGTGTAATGGCTAACATCGCTGTCTCTCACACAGCAGCTCGGGGTTCGATTCCCCGCATCGGAGATACTTTTTTCATTCATACATACATATTATATTATACCCTTTCATTCTTTTTGTATATATTTTGTTTGTAATTTGCTTTTGGTTGATCGTCGCTGTTTCATGTTTTATTTTTTGGGAAATGCTCAATTAGTTAGGTTTCAGTCTTCCAGTTGTATGTACGTATACTGCTAGGCTGTTTTGGGATAGCTTTCATACTGTGTTCATTTATCTACTACGTTTGATTTACTAGGGGATTACGTAGGTAAGTAACGATGGGAGAGAACGCAATCAATGCATGATGATATTCATACAACCATAACGCCATTAAGCCATATGATAATAAAAGAAGTAATAATGTACTCCGATAATCGAATCCCAGCTCGATTCACATCTCCCTCCTCTCACATATCCACATCCATCCATCCACTCACTCATCCTTCATCCATCCATCAATCAAGCACTACCACTCCTCTTCAACCCCTCCTCCACCTCACTCAACAACCCCAAAAGCTCCTTCCCACCCTCACTAACCCTCCCCTCAATCTCCAACCCCTTCTCAACCATCCCCTTGGCCTCCTCCCACCTCCCCATCTCCACCAAACACCTCCCACCCCTCCACCAAGCCTTCACATTCGCCACAGGCTTACTCTCAACACTACATCTCGCATCGACCAACCCCTCCGGCCACGCGCGCTGGCTCATCCACGCCTGCGCCCGATTCGCATACAACCCCGCCAACTCGTCCCTCGCCAGCGTAACAGGTTCCCAGCCGGGCCGGCCCAGCGCCATGTCGATAGCGTATGTGTAGAGACGGACCGCCTCGGCGTGGTTCGACTTGCGGTATGCGGTGTTGGCGCTGTCGCGGAGCTTGGTGATTTGAGCGCTGCGCTTGGGGTTGATGGGGAGTGGGGGAGGGGGGATGTTAGGCGGGTCGAGGGAGATGAGCGAGCGGTGCAGGGCGTTGAGGTGTGTGAGTTCGGTGGTTATTGTGGCGGGGGAAGTGGGGAGCGTGGTGGTGTTGGTGGTGTTGAGGGAGATGGATTTGCTGGTTGGGTCCAGGTGGAGAGGGTATTCGGTGAAGAGGTCGACGGAGGCCATTTTGTGTAACCTTTTCTTTTTGACTGTGTGTGTGTGTGTGTAGAGTTATTTGTCGTGAGTATCGTCGGTATCGTGTTGTGGTTGTGCGAAGATCTTGTATAGCTAGATACTACTATCTATCTAGCTAACTAGATAGATATCGTGTGTAGGTAGTTTCAGATTTCGGTGTGACCCAGAATATGGTCTGTGCGGCGGTTGTTAGTGGTTTCGATTATATTGGGAGGGTTCATTGACTCACGTTCAGATATAGGTATTATTAGGGAACACGCGGGAACGACCTGTTGGATTGATTGATTGAAGAACAGGCGTATGGGAGATGACAGAACTGTAGGAAGAAGCAAGCTGGACGCAAGTTGTCCAGTCCTGCGATAAGTCTCGGGCGGTGGCAGAATTGCCGGCATAATGGTCTGTGGCGGTCAGTCACCGGGTAATTATTTTGCAGATTGCATCGTTATCGCATTCGTGACTTTGATGAGATATGTATTTGTCTCTCTATGTAACTGCTTGGGTAGTTGCACGGGCTTAGTTCTAACGGAGCATTTATAAGCCTATTTATCTTCTATGGGACAATGTGTATGCGCTAGACTCGGAACCTGATGCATTCAATTGGAGTTCTATGGTCACCCTCTACTATAGTACTGGCAATAGTTCCATACTGCGCACCAGTATATCAATCCAAAATGTTAGAATGGCTGTAAACCGTCGCTCCAAGCACGAGGATGTTCCTACACAGTGGACTTCTATCTATGTAGGCACTTGATATTTGCCCTTCTAGGAAAAGCGTCAGTTGGGAATCCACAGCAACCAAACACCAGCCAATCAAGGTAAACTAAAAGCAAGCAAGTTGTATGCAGTCCATTGTAGGAGATGCGGATCTATGGGAAGTTAGTTTCTTGATTAAACGGATGGTTTTGTGGCTTGTAGAATTTGATGATTGATTGGGGATATTGTGAGTGGGGTACTTGTGGACAAAGAAGGGTGTCATGTGCGGAGATTAGTTCTCTGTCCAGGCAGAGTAGTAAATGATAGTTGCAGGTATAGACATCAAAATATAGAAAATGTCAAGATTCGACTATTAATCAATCATCCAGCAGTAGAGGTGGGAAAGCAAGTCTGCATGGATTTTAAACTCTGCCTAGGCAATTATAGGGGAGAATTGGGTAGCCATATACATTTACACTTAATGCTATCTATGTCATAGTCCAACAGTGTCATCCAGATCATCAATAACCATGCAGACATAAGGTCCGATGCGAACACGTAAGGGACTTGTCCCGTCCCATCACAGCATACAGTCATCACCAGTGGAAGCAGCAGACAGAAATGGGCAGTTGAAACTTCACGCAAAAAGTCAATCAGAAAGATAATACAGCACGAGTGCGCCCACAAACACCGCTCCATGGTCATTTCGAAGAGATAAACGCAGAAAACCGCCGCTAGCCACGCTCAGCGCCCATAGCCGCTTACACTGGATCCGAATTCGGATGCTCCTCCGTAATGTTGGCCGTGCGCACCGCCATAGCTGGTGTTGTAGTCGTGGAGCACGCTTCCACCAGAGACCGTCGGGTCGTATGTGCCCGACAGCGCCGAGCGTGCTGCATGCGAGTTTCCAAACTCGTCCACCTCGCTCTGCTGCAGCAGAGCGTAGTCCTCGTCCCGGTCGCCACGGACAGAGGAGCCGATACCAGCACGGGAGCGGAAGTCGTCTTCTTCCTCCTCGAAATCATGGGCGGGGTTGGAGGAAAAGGCAGCCTTCGTCTGTGCGGCAAAGGTGGGATCGGAGACGGCGTCGGGCAAGGTTCCGGTGCGGCGGAAATGCGAGACATTGCGGAAGGACATGAAAGCAGTGACGCAGAAAAGCAGGCTATTATATTGTCAGCACAGATAACGGAGATGCGATGGGTATACTCACAAGACAACCACCCCCAGAATCACAGTAGCTGTGCTGACTTTGCATTTACTGGCGCTTCCGTAGGCCCAGTTATCGCATCCGCTTTTGCTGCTGCTGGAGCTGCTGCTAGTATCCCTTCTGCTCGACGAACTCGAGCTACTGCTGGAGCTGGAGCTAGAGTCCGAACTTGAGTCCGAACTTCCCTTACTCTTACCTTCCGCCACATAGCTAGCCACACAGACCCAGGCAGAGAACCACAGAATAGCGTACAGGCAGTCGACGGTTGCGAAGGCATAAACGTTACCGAAGCGTCGCGCGCGGGGCCACATGGGCACGGCCACGAGGTAGATCAGGCCGGGGATACTGAACCAGCACTAGAATAAGTGGGAATCAGTACATGTCATCAGGCAGAGGTGTGGGATTTCAGTTATCGCAACGTACCAAAGCAAAGTACCAGGCGGAACGCCCATCAATGCCACCTCCCTTTGTGAAAACAGCGATGGTCAGGGCCCACGCCAGGAATATGATGAACCCCTGGAACCCATGGATGAGGTTTTTCGTCCTCCCGGGGTTGAAAGACGGCCGTGCGATTCTCATTGTGGGAGGAGGAAGAGGAGAAAGACGGAAGACGGGGAGCGGTGCCTGACGACAAAGGGCGCTTCCTTGTACGGAAGCGAAAGAGAGGATAGAGCGATCGGACTTTTATGTGAGGAATCAAATCGAGGATACTTTTTGATGCGCTGTATGTCGAGGCAGTCGTCTCAAAAGGCGTTGTGGAGGGGCGTGAGATGGGGTGGAATGGATTGTTTATGCCGATAGCGATCGAAAAACCCAAGACCAGGTGAACGGGGCAACCCGATCAATGCCGCGCGGACGCTAAAGTGGGCGGTTTCAAATGGTAGCGTTGGCGAACCCGCAGCGCAACAACAATAGCAGCGAAATGAGTTTCGTTCAATCACGTTATTTGAACGAGGAGAGATTGAGAGAGATGAAAGAGAAAGGGGCAAGAAAGTGGACAGATGAATGTCAATGAGATGAGATGATTGTGGCTGAAGCGAATTGCGCAGCATCTCTTCAGCTTCAGTCTTTGGTACGGTACCGTAACTTGCGATGCCGATCTTACCGCTTGACTAATTATAGCCTAGGCTGAACTGGCCGCCAGAAATAGCAGCACCTGACATACACTTCTCCATACACTTACTATCTATATTGACATCCACCATGTTGGGCTCACAGCTCCCGGCTTCTACGGAATACCGTTGTCTGGTCGACATCTCAAGGAGAGTTGAGGAAGAAGCTCGGTTGCTTACATTCCTCGCTGGTACCGTACCTGTTCCGAAAGGCCCTCCATATAAAGTTTCTGTCGACCAATCGGAAAACCTGCGGGGAGCCTTCCAAGGCTGACGAATGCCAGTCAACCAGCTCACCTGGAGGTCATGGGAGCAGTTCAGGCAGCTTTATTAGGAGTTGAAAGAGGATATAATGTGCTGGCATGGCACTCATTCTACAAAATCATGTCTGCGATTATCACGATCGCATTCGTCTGGCCCAATTCTGTTGGCAAACAGTGGCAGACGAAAGATCTATAATAGAAAAGTATGATCCAGATAGTATCAGTGATAACGCAGTCTGCTCTAATGAAGCGTTCCGAGCGATAGACAATGCGATTTAGGTGACTTCAAACTCTTAATAGACACTAAGGCCTAATTATGAGATATATATAGTGTATATATACTTAGTTAATTAAGTTAATTCTATAAGAGGAAGGCCACCACATGTCAATAGGGAAATAGTAAAGACATACTCAGTCTCGCTACATTAGTATTAAGATAAAAAAGAGCTCAGCCTAACCAGCATTACATGGTCTTACATTCCTACTACACTGATGTACAATGACGTACATCCATTGCCAGACAGATGCTCGTGTCTTCGCACTCCACTCCACGTGCTTCCCATACAAGGCTATAGAATCCCTAGCTTGAAGCTATCTTTCCTGCACATACTGGCTATTTAATAACCCTTCTATTCCTATTCAACAGTCTCCCTTAGACTACATTCCTTATCTACCAGACCACGGGTATTATCCTCAACTCAGACATGCCTATACCAGTACTCCATCTAAGCCGAATAACCCACACACCACTTAACGATGGCCGCTCAACGAACCCCAAACCCTAAGTATACAACCACCAAGACAATCAGATACACTTTGCTTTTTCATAACCGATAATTTCCCAAATTCATACATAGAAGCACGACCAATCACATAATCTAGCAGCAGTAGTAGCCGTTTTATGATAATGCTAAGATACTGTTCTCATGGAAACAGCTCTATATGCGCTAATTCGGCATATATCTATGATTTCTCCATATCTACAGCAGTGAAGCAGGTGCAGAGGAGTGAGTTCCCGTCACTTCATCATGCCGTGTTCGACATTTGCTCCCCCTGGCTTTGCCTACAGCACTTTTGAATGCCCATTCAAGGGCAGATAATGTCCCACTTCAGCACCCAGAGACAATTGCACGGTATTGTTGAGACAAGTACAGGTGTGACAACAGGCACTGGTCAAACTAGGCATATATCGTCACATCAGCGCTGCATTGACTCGTGACTAGATAGAGAAGTCATTGTCACCGCGATACATGGCCCAGACGGTCTGTTCGTTCTTCATTCTCTTCTTTGACTCATCCAACATCTTCTGGAACTCCACAGCAGTTTCCACGGCCTCCTGTATATGTCTATACTTCAACTTCCCGGGTATCCCGTACTCGTTGAAGGCAAGGCCATCCGCAACATTCAGCACGTTTCGTATTTGCCGGCCATTCAACTGGAATTTTCCCAGTCTATGCTTGACATCTTCAACTGCACTTGGCCCAATCATTTTATCTCTGCCATTCAAGGAAAGCAGTCGTTCCCAGATCTGCGCGCGGGTGGCGGGGGTCATTTCCCTGAAGGAAATTCCAATTTGGATGCGGGACTGAAACGCTACGTCCATCGTGCTAACACGATTTGAAGTTAGGAATAACACACCCTGGAAGTATTCTAGCTGTCGAAGAAATACTGTACAGCATAGTCAATTAAGTCTGATAGAGCCAAGTGAATATCAATCTAACTTACCAGTTACAATACCATTCCGGCGTACGTCCTCAAAAGACCTCGCCTCGAGAACAACATCCGCTTCATCCAGCAGAAGAATGGCGTTCCAGTCTCTAGCTCGATTGAACTCTACCTGCAGGCGCTGTTGAAGCCTCTTATCTTCCCATACCAGATCGCCAATGCTAAGTGAAACGAGTGGCCTTTTAACAGCTTCTGAGACGCACTCGGCCGTGAGTGTTTTGCCAACCTGGACCTCATAGTTAGCAGAACAGAATGAACCGGTGAATAGTTGGGAAGGTAGATATCGGAGAACGAACACCTGGGGGCCCATGCAGCAGAATTATCAGACTTTTTCCTTTCCCGTCGATAATATCACTTCTCATATCATGATCCTGGCTATTATAATGTTGGCCGACTAGGCCCTTTAAAATGTCCTTCTTCTTTTCATCCAACACAAGGTGATCCATAGCGCCCACATCCCATGCTACTGGTGTCAACCGCTCAACACTAGCGGCATAGAGCTGCATATCAGAGAGACTATGACAACCTATGCTAGCAGGGCATAATCTCGCCTGCTCATCGGTCAACTCAGCCGTGGGCTGTAAGCTGTCCTGCTGATTTCCTTCCTTTTGTTTGATTGAAGGAACAATATACTCATTGTTATCCCTCTTGGGCAAAAGGCTCATAAACTTGTAGGGCAACACTTCCTTCGCATCTTCGTCGATAATCACCCTTCCCTCAACCTGGCGACAGTTCAGCTCCTTGAACCCCAACATAAATTATAGTTCACTGCGGCGAACCTACCCTCGTCCGCTTTTGGGGGTTGTATACGTTATCCCTCTCACCACCAAGCGAGAATGCAAGTCCGTTGTAATCGAGGCAAGATGTTCGCGCTTCGATGAGCTTCCACCAGCGTCGCCCTCTTTCCGCGAGGGATCTGTTAATCTCATCAACGGAGCGCTCGCCTCTATATCTGAGTGGGACAAGAGGTAGCGACGTAATCGATTTGCGACCGGCAAATTCTGGAACCTTGTAAATGAGAATTTCTTCAACTGCTGCTCGACATTGTCCCACTTCAGGCCCCACACAGTGAAGGCCGCACATTGTTCTTTCGGGGGCCGGCGCCGCTGCCGCTGCGCGCTATGATAGGTTATATCAATGAAGATGAACTGCCATAGACAGCCAATTTCATCCTCATGAAGAACCGGTTCTTCGGTCTGGAACAGTTTCCACAGCATATCGTAGCTGACAAACCCTGACTCAAAGGTTTCGGCGCGTGCCTTGTGCCACAATGGCGCCATTTCAGCTGCGACCCGTTCCAAAGCCTTAAGATCGAGCGAAGCATCTTCATCATCGGACTTCGCAATCTCCTCCCTTATATCCTCTATATGGTAGAAGAGAGTGGGAAATGGCTCGCTCTCAGTGAAGAAGTCTGCGGGTCCTCTGCGGGTGGAATCCTTGGTTGCTCGACCGAGCGCCTCGACGAGGGGCTTGGAATGTATCTCTACCCTTTTTGTTCCGTCAGAGCCGATGACATAGGAAACAGCAATGGTCCCCTCGCTCATGTTGCCTCTCTCGCTGATTTGTTCCTCTTCATCGGAGAAATTGCTGTCGTAATCGCCAGGGAGACGGCGCCGGAATCGTATTTCCTCCGGTTCGACGATGCGGAATCGCGATGTAACACTGGAGCTCAAGCCCCGCTGGAGACGTCCATGATTTTCTTGCAATGACATTATGGCCCCTGACCGGAGGCTCCCTACTTGTAGATGAGACCTTTGCCGTATGGCAGAGTGACAATCAATATCTCCAGGTGTTAAGTCTCAATCAATTTCACAGCTGATGTTCGTTGACGTGGCTGGGGTGGGGTACGAGGCTGAGCAAGCCATGGCCCCCCACGCGCTCTCTCTTCGCTCGCTCCACGTCGATATTTCGAGGCCTGCAGCATCTCTCCTTCTTATCATCGGCCTTTGTCTCACGGGCGAGGTACCGAAGTACACATTGTTTCGAGATAAAGCTCTTCCCAGAGCTCCATATCGTGAGATAGCTGCTATGTCCCTTTTTCCAGCAGATTAGTTATAGGCATGGATTGGAAGTATAAACCTCCCACCGAGGGCCAAACCCACAACCGTGACCCCAGTTCTGGGGAGAGATTACAATGGAGTCATTGGTATCAGCCGGGATCAAGCAATGATGAGTGGGTCAAGTGCATGACAATGGTTGAACGTCTCTCACTGATCGTATTCATGTGTAGTCAGATATATGACAATGCACTGCAAAGGTGCAAAGAGGTCAATGAACAATTAAGCTCTCAACCATGGTGGAACGACCAATGTGATCTTGTGGCGTCGTCGAAAACTGTCGAGAGTATGCCGGTCCGACTCAAACCGCCCGGACGGTATGATGCCTCGTGGGTGCAAGACCTCATTGCAAAAGAGAGATTTAGAATCAATAAAAAGAACACATCCGAATCAGCATGGCGGCACAAGGTCTCGGGCTTCGCCGACGACGTGATTAGAGTTGCCACGTTAATCAAGCCTATTGTGGACATATTTGTTCCTCAAAGCCCAGAATGCTCCGTGCCATATGCCTGTTTGTGGATGGTATTCAAGGTTCGTTCTTAGATGTTAAAGGTCGTTGGTGTGTCTGACATGTGATAATAGGGCGTGTCTAGCAGGAAAGAAAAGAAGGAATCGGTTTTTGGCCTGATAACCTCGCTCTCTGACGAGATCCCTACGCTGCAAGCCTACGGCGACATGTTCCCAACGGATGAGATGAAAGAAACTTTGTCCCAGTTTTACATACATACCGTCGACCTTCTTTGGAGGCTAGCCAAGTACTATGCTATTGGCTTCTTCAGTATGGAGTTGCAAGCTTCTGAGCGAATAGATGGCGACTAATTCATGAACAGAGCAATTAACCGATGCTATACTCCCGCGCACCAAGTATGACTTTCCCACGTACCTCGACAACATCAAGAAGTCGACCACGCGACTCAAGGCACTTTGTGAATTGGGGCATATGGCGGAGCAAAAGGACATCAAAGGCAACCTGGATGTTTTACATTCTGGTAAATGACCTGGGTCGGTTCAAGTTACGTGAAAAAGCTAAATGGACACCAGAGATCCGCCATCTTCGCCTCCAAATTGAAATGTCTCGCGGTAGTAAGCTCGTTATCTCTTTAACTTAGTGCCCCTGAACATGAATGCTAAATTTCTCAAACTTCAGTTCAAGGCCGGCGGTACGCCTCAGACCTCATCGACATCTGGCACGACGACGTTGGCGACATCGAGCACGAACATCAACTCTGGCAATCACTACGTTTCTCCACGGACATGCGCGATCACTGGAGTCAGAATGGGATTTTGCCCTGCCTTGCAGAGTGGCGTGAGCATTGCGACACTTCGGAGAATTCAATTCTCTGGGTATCATCGCAGAGCAACGGGCGACAATCCTGGCTCACCGAGTTTACCCTCGATGTAGTCAGTGTGTGCCGATCTCAAGGACAGGACATAATGATTGCCATGTGTGATCGACCGAATGGTGTGAAATGGACACCAGCACAGCTTCTCCGACAGTTGATCGCCCAGTTATTGATCGATCACCCAGAACTGACTGTCTTTCGACCAGGCATATTCAATGCCCGGACTTTCCGACGGGCAACAAAATTCGACGCCCTCTATCGTCTCCTGAATTCGGTTGTAGCTGTGCTGAAATCCGTTCTGATCATCATCGACCGCCTAGACCTCTGCGTGGCCGATCCGAATGAGAAGGATGACGATATTACACGCGCGCTTTCGATATTGGCGCGAGCGTATCCAAACCTGAGGATCATTGTTACCACCGGTGAGATAGTGTCACCCTCAATGCTTCCGGGGCTTCCTGTCAGTTTTGCAATGGTAAATACGAGACGGCACCCACGACGTCGCCCGTCGCCTTCCCCAGAACCTCCCCCAACACGACGGCCGGCTGGAAGACGACAGTATGAGCGGGTAGCTGCTTGAAACTGCTCTGATATATCATGTTACATTCATACAGAGATAAAATCAAGCGCCAACTACAGTATCGTGTTTTGATGCCGTTGCGCCAGAGATGGACTCTGAATGAAAATTTCCCGGTATCCTTCCAGATCCTCACCATGGTCCCAAACACATAGCCGTAGAAGTACTTGGGAGGAGCGTAATTCCCTCGTTGCGTCTGTTCCCCAGGCCTCCCTGGTTCACTTAGGTCGCGCCGAGGGGTGCAGCCGCAAATGTCATGTTTATTGCCGCAGAAGGGTAGTTTTTAAAAGCCTCAGAAGCACGCCTAGTTATGATTTCAAGGAGATTCGAGTCAACCAGAAAACTCGTAGAAGGGAATACCATAGTAAGATTGGTAGTCTGTTACGTAGTTTAAATCTTCTGGTCTCTTCATATGTACGAATTATTCTACACTGGATATTTATATGGGTACAGTACTAAGAAAAGCTCAGCAGGCTTCTCACCAGAGAGAGAATCAGAGTACAAAAACTTAGACTTCGTAGTATTCTGAAAGTTATATTTATGAAAAGATAATTTTTGTTTTTGTTACAAGACATCCATACTACTTCTGGATAACTAACTAGTTATTATCTTGCGGCTGAATGATACTGAGACTATAATTGAATTTTAACTCTGGAAAAACTATACTGCAAGTAGAAAATATTAAAATCTTAAACACATGGTTATAACTATCTCTTGAATTTTAAGGAAAAAAGTAAGAAAAAGAAATCACTTCTTACAATTGAGTATACTTGAATAAAATTCAAAGAAAAGAGTCATAATATTATAAAAAGTGCAATAACAAACTAATATCCCAAGGCGCCACTCAATGATCCTTTATATAACCAAGTAATCGTAACATCGTGTCTCATCCTATCCTGTCCTGTCCTGTGGTTCCCGTCCTTCCGTCCGTCAATGCTGAGTGGAACAAAGGAAAAAAACCAACGAACAAAAAGTACTAATAATCAGAAGAAAGAGAATGAAAGGGTCAATGACGGAGTATATGTAATCACGCCCTTTTCACCCTCTTCGGCTTCACAATCATCTCCAGCTCCCTCAACGGCTGATAGACATGAGCATGCCACCACCAAGGCAATGGATCCAGCTGGGAGAACTTCTGGTTCTTCCAGAAGAACAGGAGCTTACTGCCCTCGTTAAGGGCACGATCGACCTGTTTCCCCAGCGATCCAAATACCTTCACATTGGCTTTCTTCGCAGAGCGAAACAGACTGAATCGTCGGCGCGGAGGCGTAGTGATATCGGGCTTTGAGGAAGCAGACGCAGTCGCAGCATTCGCCGTGCCATTGCCCTCCCCCTCGGCGACACCATTTGTCTGCGGCGTCAATGCCTCCAGATACCCATCCACCAAGGACTTCAAATCATCCTCAAGGATGAGGTACTTGACCGCCGACGCGCCATGCGAGCAGCTATCAATGAGTATCACATACCGCAGACAATTGTCGCTCACCTCCTCATCCACCATCACCTTCAACCGTAGATGCCCCGTCAACCGGGCACCCATCTGGCTCGCAAACCGCTCCATCAGCGCCTGAATCGCCGTTGCGAGCCCGCGGTCCATCGGTGACTGGCCCCAGCCACCATCCCCATCCTCAGCAGGGTAGATCTTCGTTGCCTTGACCTTCCCGGCAACGACCGCCATCTCGGCATAAAACCCCCCCAATCTCGTCTGCTGCTGCAACATCCACGGCCTCTCCCTGGAGATGCGAATCTCGCTGACCTCGGAATAGGTCAGACTAAGAGTCCGTTTCGGCAACATCACCTCGCGATCATCCGCCCTCCGCATATTCCACACTTTGGTCGGCGACCGATGGAGGATCTTATGCACCGCATCCCGAGACAACACCTCGTGTCTCTCCACAACGGGTAACCCTTTCTCGACCAGGAATGCCAGGAACGCTTCCCGGTCCGTTGAGGATTGGGAGAGTATATCCACCATCCCCCGATCAAGTGTGACGCACTTACACCCCGTCCGTGCCTCAACCACGCCCTTCGCGACGGCGTCTTCTTCTCCTTCGGTCTCCTCGCTGCATGGGATCCACACGTCCACCTTCTCTTTCATCACCACATCTAGTATTTGCGCTGCGTAGCCTTTCGTAGTACCGCCAGGGACACCAGTGGTAATGCGATAGTACCCGCTCAGTACCCGGGACATACTCTCCCCGCACGCCACGCCCGACTGGTCATCCCCGCCCACCACTTCGGCCCCAACCACCCGATGGCCGGAGTAATACCACCCGCGCGCGATGGCCAGTCCATACGGAGTGTCGATACCTGTGACGAGGACAGTCCGTGGCTTGAATTGGCTGTCGCGGAGGGCGGCAGCGCGGCGGCGGGCACCGGTCTTGTTGCTGTCTGTCAGAGAGAAGGGGAAGTAGCCTGCTGCGTAGGCAGCGAGGAGGATGGTGTTATCAAGTGGGAGGAGAGCGAGGGAGATAGCGACGCGGAACAAGTGCACTAGGACTTGCAGTTGGAGGAGAGAGCATCGGGGAGTTTGCAGGGAGCGGGATTTGGTTGTGAGGGCGCGGCGAAGGCGAAAAGGGTGGCCGACTGTCATTTTGGTTTATATTTATTTAACTCTTTTTATTGTCTCCAGTGGGTATATGGATAGGTTTCGGGGGATTAGTTTAATTAGTTAAGAGGTAAGTGGGGTTATTGTTGTATAGTATAGTATAACCCCGAAAGCACCAAAAAAGAATCCCAAAATGAAGAAGAGAAATGAAAATGAAGATGGCCCTCTGCGGAGTACCCACGGGCGGGAAATTCTCCCTATATTATGTACTCCGTTGTATGTGTCGCGCGAATGCAAATGTAATGTGCGTCTCTCTGTGTGTGTGTGTGTGGAATGCTGCAAGGCGACCACGTCAGCATAGGATACGCATTTGTGATGCGAGGCGGGCGGCGATGAATAGATAGATAGATAGATAGATAGACTAGTAACTAGTAGTAATTAGGAGAGAGATGTGTTGGGTTGCTGCTGATGCCGAGTGTCAAAGTAAGTAACTGGAGTGAGGTGGCTGGGACTGCCAGCTAGCTAACTAACTGACTAGCTAAACAGCTGTCCGTCTATCTTATGGTTTCCACATCGCAAAGTGGGGGATGCGGATGGAGCCTATTGGAAAGAAAAAGCAATATGCGGATTTCACTTTTTTTTTTCTTTTGCCTCGGGCTGGGCTAAGTTGGTGTCTGAGACTTGCATGCGGTTGTAGGGTTGCAGTGCAAGTAGGGATTGATTGGATGGGCGCGGCCGAGGTTAGGTAGGGTAGCTGCTTGGCTACGGTTGCGGCATTCCTTGCCTTGCTACGGGATAGCTAGCCCTGCCATGTAAGTGTCCACTGTCCAGTACGCAGTAGGTAGATAAGAATCGGTAGATGGATACCCAATTCAATGCTGGGCGGGATGTGCTTGTGTGGTGCATGCAGCTGCTCATTAGTGTTTCAGTTTCGGTTTCGTTTCATGTTATGCTATTGTGAGGGAGAGTTGCATTATTGGTTCGTTGAGGTCATTGTATGTGTCATGCATGCAGACAGAAAAGTAAGCACTTGAGAAATGCACTAGATCTCGTGAGGCACTCAGAATAGATAAAATAATTAGGTAGTAGCTAGCTGAAGTGCAGATCTACAAATAAGTAGCTAGCTACTAACTACCTAGTCTTCGGTTACTACTACTACTGCCGGGAAAGTGTTCCTTGGTTCTTACTTTCAAATCCCGGGACGCCATTCAGTGGATCAGGGAACATGTACCCAGATGCATCAAAAGGAAGAAGTAAAGCAGCTGAAAGCCGCTCGCAACCTACCCAATGCAGTAACTGCACAGTGACATTTCCGATCGTCCGTCGGAGATTCCATGGCCGGCGGCGGATGCGGACGAAGGGATAGATCCGGTACGGAGCTCTTTCCAAGCACTTTACCATGGCATCTTCGTATACAAGGCGACTGCCCTATGAACAAGCCTTGAACCTATTCTATGGTGGAGCTTAGCTGCCTGGAGAAAGTTAGATTGATATCACACAGTCAGTAGCAGCCTAGCAAGTTCAATGCGATCCGACCACGGTGGAGATGTAAACGTGGATCGTGGCGTGTCTCGAACCAGGTCGGGTTTCAGGTTCAGAGCGAGTGCTTTGTTTCCACCAGCCCTCAATAAGGGCGCTCTATGGAACCATGCCCTTTTCAATGAGATTAACCTTCAAGGTTGAGCACGGGACTGCTTTTATACGGAACTGGGTCGTATCATCTCCTTCTCGACCAGGGGTACGCCCTCCACGTTTGTATTGTTGAAGTGGCACTTGCATTGTCTCCCTGTTCCTATTCTGCAACCCCCACACACCACACATGGCCCGCACCTACATGGGCCTTCTGGCCTTACCAACGGAGTCTCCGAGATGGGCTGAATTGCTTTCTCGATAAGTCAGATGAGGGGTGAAACTTTATCGCATGGCAGCTGAAGGTCCTGTGACGAATGAACGGGGGAGCCGGGACCACACCTTACTGGACCGATCTGGAGACCGATGTGGTAACCATCTCCGACTACCCGGGATTTGCGATGCCGTGCACCCTTGCGTCCGCCACTAGGGATGAGATAGCATCGCTTATTTGCTCTTACCATTCCATGGATTTCATAATGCGATCATCATGGGTGTGGCCCCCCGCCGGATGGCGACATATCCGCCTTATCAGCTACAACGGTCTATGTTGGTGCCGAATCGACTAGTCCGCGCGTCTTTCAGCGCTCTTAAATATCCTGCTGTCCCTCACACATGGCTTCGGTGTTCACGCTCTCCCTTTACTCTCCCTAGATCCTCCCCATCTCTATCTCCTTTCACGCAGCGCCTGTTATCGACCATGGGTGATAGTGCTACCCCCGAAGCCCCTTCCAACCCTCCTCCGGTTGAACCTTCCGTAAGCTTGTCCCATAGACTTCGACAAGATGCGCTATGATCGGATAACTGACTGTTTTGATAGCGTGAGGAAGGTCGGGAGCTGAAGTTGCTTCACTTCATCTATGACCAACCGAACCGTGACGAGATCCAGGGCAACCCTGCCAAGATCCTGGATCTGATCGAAGAGTTCGGGAAAACGTACCACTTCATGAACATTGGTCGGGCCAAGGGCAAGTTCATCGTCGACATCATCGAGGAAAAGAAGCCCGAAGTGATGATCGAGCTTGGTGGTTATGTTGGTTATTCGGCCATTCTGTTCGGAGATGCCGTGCGCCGGGCCGGCGGACGACACTACTATAGTCTAGAGCTGAACCCCGAATTCGCGGCCATCGCGAACATGCTGCTTGAACTGGCGGGCTTGCGCGATTTTGTTACGATCCTCGTTGGCCGAAGCGATTTGTGTCTCGACAAGCTTTTCTCGAGCGGCAAAGTCAAGCAGGTGGAAGTGATGCTGATCGACCACTATAAGCCCGCATATCTCGCCGATTTGAAGCTCTGCGAGCAGCTCGGCAAGATCGTGCCCGGGGTTTCAGTTGTGGTGGCGGACAACGTGCTCTACCCCGGCAACCCGCCGTATTTGGAGTATGTCCGCAGCACAGTGGAGCAGAAGCGTGAAGCGGCCAAGAAGGGACCGGTCCAGGCGTATGATACAACCGGCCTGCCACAGAAATCATACAGGTCATTCATGGGTGCGGATGCGACTCCCAGATTTGAGCTGACCGGCAACCCGAATCTGGTGTATGAGAGCAAATTGGTCAAACCCGAGACCACACGAGTGAGTTTCACCCGTATTTCCGGGGGAGTGAATGAGGGGTGAGGGGTGGGCATTTCACTGACATGCGAAACCTGTAGGACGCGATCGAAGTGAGCCGATGTGTGGGAATCCAAGAATGAAAGGGTCCCAGGGATAGAAGTTGAGAGATTTGTTTCTTGGTGGCTACCTGCAAAGGCTGGACCCAGTGGCCTCATGAAGCATCGGCTAGAGCGCAGAATGAATTCCGAGAATTGAAAGTGACGCATTGAGACATCGGCTTTTGCCGCGTGCCCCGCCCGACCCAAAGGTTGCCGTCGCCAGGACCTTCCCCCGCGCCAGCAGTCATAAATGGCCACTTAGTTGCCATGGGGGAAAAATAAGGCGGGTTTGCTCCATTTGTAATCCTTAGACGAATATCCATAGCGTATATAAGCAGAGAATCCCCTCCATTTCCCTATTGTCCATTGTTCACTGTCCTCTCTATCCTCTCCTAGATATACCCCCAACCCATCGCAAGTGACACCACCCCATCATGGCTTCAAAGACCTGGAACGTCGGAATTGTGGGTTATGGCTTCAGTGCCAAAACCTTCCACATTCCCTTCATTCAGGAAGTGCCTCAATTCAAGATCACCGCTGTTGTGCAGCGCACCCCCAAGCCCGATGACGATGCCGAGAAGGACCACCCCGGAATCAAGTCCTACAGGACCACCGAGGAAATGGTCAAGGATGAGGGTGTCCAGGTGGTGGTTATCACCACTGCTCCCGATTCGCATTACGCCTTGGCCAAGCTGGCCCTCGAAAATGGAAAGCACGGTAAGCTTCCTGAACAGCCACATGTAGTAGTTGACTTCGCATGAGTGCTGACGTTTTCTTGCAACAGTTGTCTGCGAGAAGCCCTTCACCCCCACCACTCAGGAGGCCGATGAACTGGTTGCTCTGGCCAAGAAGCAGAACAAGCTCCTGGCCGTGTACCAAAGTACGTTCCTTTACCCAATCGCCAGTCCGGAAGAACACGGTCTGATAATAATATTTGGTAGATCGCCGGTGGGATGCCGATTTCGTGACCCTGTCGAAGCTCGTGAAGAATGGCTCTCTTGGCCGTGTGGTGGAATTCGAGACTCACTTCGACCGTCATCGCCCTCAGGAGCCCTCCCCCGATGTTTCTAAGTGGAAGAACAAGGTCATCCCCGGTGGTAGCGCCATCTATGACCTGGGCGCCCACCTCTTGGACCAGGCCGTGCACCTGCTTGGCAAGCCGGAGCGCGTGACTGGATTCATTGGTTCCCAGCGCGAGGTCAACACTTCTGGTTTCGAGGACTCTTTCACTGTTCTGCTCCACTACCCCAAGAGTGTGCTTGTCACGGCCAAGGCCGGTGTTGTCAGCCCGGAAGAGGAGCAACTGCGCTTCTGGGTTCGGGGTGAGAAGGGTAGCTTCAAGAAGGTGAGATAACGGCCTTTCACCCTAGGTGTCGTTCGGTAACACAATACTGATGTGTACTCGTCGATAGTTCCACCTCGATGTCCAGGAAGAGCAGCTCAAGTCCGGTGTGAAGCCAGGTGACAGCGGATATGGCCGCGAGCCTTCTGAGAGATACGGTAAGCCTAAGATTAATCCCTTTGATACAAGGCAACCTACTGACAGTCTGCTAGGTACTCTCACGACCATTCAGGATGGCAAGCCCGTCAAGGAAGTCATGCCCACCGTAGAGCCCCCGACCTGGACGGAATACTACCGGAAGCTGGCGCGGGCTCTTGGTGGAGAGGGTGATCTCCCAGCCAGCGGAGCCGAGGCTCGTGAAGTGATCCGGCTGATTGAGTTGGCTCAGGAGAGCTCGAAGCAGGGAAAGACCCTGGATGTATAAATTTTGCGTAAATAGTGTGCCTCTCACGGGTCATGATTTAATGATGGATAGAATTGATTTTGTATTGTACAAGTGACAGTGTGAAGTTTTAAACTAGTGATTCATTTAGGAGAAATAGATGCCGCAGTGATCCTCAGTGTTACTAAATATTACTCCGTAGTGTGCTCCACTTGCTGCAGCGAAATTTTGACTGTTCTACATAGGCATTACCAAGAATAGACATCCTTATACAGTCTGGTCTCAACTGTGTCTCCAATTCCCCCTCATTTCCCCTCACGAAGGGTTTTACGAGGAAAGGCGCGAGGGTTCGCCGGCGCCATGTTTTTGGGGACCCCAGATTGATCGACGATTACTCAAGTCTGGGCGGGAATGAGGTATGTTACGCGGTCTGAAATCCCGATACCACTACGAGCCTATGAAACATGGGTGATTTGAGGGAAAAGACAACCAGGCTCGGGTAACAGTCGGTGTAATATTACAGACCAGTGACCTCATCGTCAGCTGCTCCGACGCTAAACTGAAAGCGGAGTTTCCATTACCCAACGCGAATATCATGAGTGGCAGAAAGATCCCTTGGACCAGCCAGCAAAAGGGCCTCTGTCCCTCTCTTTCCAGGGCATCAATGGTCATCTCCAACTCAGCACTGCATTCTCGCCCTCTGACTACCCGCTTCCGCGGAGATCCTCATGGTTACAATGTAGGAGACCTCGTTTTGCGTGCCGACTTTTCCAGCTCTCCTCAGTGCTGGCCGGATGGCCCCATCCTAGTATTTTAATCTCGAGGAACCCCATAATGGCCTTGTCCACTCGCTCTTCGTCTGTTTCAAACCTCCAATGGGATTCCTCGGTTTATATTTAGCTTCTCTGTCACCTCCTGTCAATCCACGTAGTCCAAGGTAGGTTTTTGTCCTCGCGCCCCCCCTGACATGGACCCGTCGGGACTCCATTTAATCAAACTGATGCCTGGTCGCTTGATGGGTGTCAATGCATGGCCATAGGCCAAAATTTGCGCCTGTCATTTCTCCTCGAATGTGTGTGCTTGGCTGCCTCTTCATTCGTGGTGTTTTCCGTCTTCAATGGCCTGCTTTTCCATGTTTGACGGCTGTATCTGACTTTATATACATTAGGGTGGCGAGCCGTGTTGCGTGCTTTAAGACTGTCCGGGCTGGTTACCGACAGTGCTGAAGGATGAGTGCGCAGAAACCTCAGTCAGGGTCTCTGCTCCAGCGCATCGACTTCTCTCGACTACATGTGGACATCGATGCCTTCCTCAATCCATATCTGCCGCCTCCACCGTGGCGCCATCTGCCCCGGCCGATCTCTCGGTTCTTCGGGTACAGGAAGACTCTCGCTCCAAAACCCCTGGGGAATCTTGTGATCGCCTTCTGGTCTATGATCGGGGTCTTCTGTGGTGTGCTCGTAGTA